GCTGCCAGCCCCCTGAGGCAAGTCTGTACAGAAAATTCACGTTGATGGCTCGGCACGGGTGCGCCCCAATGCAGACGGTAACCCAGGCGGTGCATGGCCTTGCCAGTAATCTTTTGGACTTGTGCAACCGCAGAGGTCTCGGACAGGGCCAAGACATCAGCCCCAACATGAGCGAAAGCTTGTGCCTTATTCAGCACACTGGTGGGGTTCACCACCGCAAAAACACAGGTATCCGGGGAGGCTTCGGAGGTAAACGCCGGCTCCTCTGGTTTATTGCCAAAGAAGGAGGTGATAGTCCGTTGTCCTCTGGGACCTGGGTGGGAAGCTTCACCAATACGGCAGCCACAGTTAAGCCGTGGGCGCCAGTCATGGCACTGGGAAAACCCTGGAACTTGGAAAGGGTGCGACCCGACAGCTGGCACAGGAGAGCCGAAAACTGTGTATTCAAAGGCACCTCGGCACTGCCATGCGCAACAGCTTGACCCTGGGTCGGGCGGGCAAGGGTGGCCCAAAAGCCGCGGTATTTTGTCAAAGAACAGGACCGTAGTGGCGGCGTAGCGAGAGAGTCGCGCACTCTGGCCGACAAGGGAAATCCATGGGCCAGTGGCTTTTACACCCGCAGGCAGTCGTAGCGAATGGCTGTTGGAGCTCGGAGGCTGAGTCAGCAAACTAATTGTGCGCTTGTGGGGCGAGGTGCCCAGTTGCATCAAAGCGGTGGCAAAGCGCTTACAGCTTGCAACCACCCTGGGAACCAAAGCAAGTACACCTTGGGGCGCAACACTTGCATCTTTTTGAGAGGCAGGCTCTAACCACGTCTGAGCAGAGCAGGACACGGGCGACCCGGCGGGCCAATGTAACTCGGAAAACACTTCACTGGCAGCACTGCAGCGGGAAATCCCTGGAACAGCGAGAGCAGGCAGCCGTGGCAAGGGTGGTGCCCCAGAACACCCCAAGGGCAACTCAAAAAGGCCGCAGCAAAAACCCCAGGCGGCGTGTCGACAGACTAGAAAGCTGGGTAGCAGCTGAAGGAGGCGGACGCAAGGAGCCGCCACGCGGACAAAAGTGCTTTGTCGCAAGTGATCCCAAATGAGTGCACCGGGCGCACTCAGCAAAACCCCAGCGGGCCAGACGGGCCGGAGCCCCTGTCACAGTTCAGGGTCGTTACAACGCTGCTTCTTGTTCTCCTGGGAAGCGACCAGCAAGGCTTTGAGCTCAGCCATACCCGCTGCAACCTGGTTACTCTGCTGCTGCTGGGCAGACTGCAGGCTGTCAAGTCCGGCTTGGAACTGCTGTTGCAGACCCTGTCCAAGGCCCTGAAACTCCTGTCGGACAACTTGAAATTCTTGGCGGACCTCCGCGGCGTCGGCGGCCTGGGCCTGTTTGCAGACAATTTGCTCATCCCTGAGAGTCTGTATACTTTGCTCAAGCTGCGCCAGCTTGGTTTCTTGTTGGTGCACACGTGCCGCAAGCTGCTGATCAGCCGTGCGGGCGGGCTGCAGGCTTGGTTTGCTCACTGCAGCAGAAGAGCCTGCGCGGTAACTGCTCCAGGGATCACTGTGTAGCCACGGGTCAACTTCAGCGTCCGTTTGTGCAGTGGCACGACGGGTTTGGGCCGGCACTGGGCCACCTGCCTGCAGGACCGGGGGGGCAGCATCGCGGTTTTGCACCTGCTTGATCAAGACTGGCTGTGCATTGAAGAGTGCCGTGGCAGCTGGCGGATCTGTGGGCGCACCCAGTAGCCAGAATTGCGGCCCCAGCGCCTTGACAACACGCACGGGCCATGCGAGCTGGCGTGCCCAATCCTGAACATCCTCTGCACTCACTGCGTGGGGGAACGGACCAGTTTTGTACAGGCCGCGAACCTCTAAAGCCTCAGGCGCCTTTGTGCCGGGACGGAGCTGCTCAAAGATTCGGGCAAAGGCATCAGTAGGCACACGGAGGCCAAACTTACTCCGGCTGCGGACCAGCCCATGTTGTTCCGGAACAAGGAGTGCTTGTTTTTCGACATCTGCCTTTGCCCCCGGCATCCAGACCACTGACCAACCCGGCAGCAGCTGTCTGTCCCATCCACGGGGGACGACATACACACCATTGAAGCCGCTCTGCTGCAGCACGGCACGGAGGTCTGAGCGAAAGACCTTAGCAAAGAACTGAAAAGAATCCGCAGCCTGAGGTTGGCATGCCTTGCCGCCTGCGCGAAAGCTGCGCCCCCAAGGGTTGGAGAGAGCCTGCTGGACACCTCGGCCCCTGAACAAGTCCACAACAGTACGCACTGGCGCCTTGATTGCATCCTGCCAGACGCGCGCCGGCTGCGCTTCATCTGCGTGCATTGTAAAGGAGCAGCACACCGTCCCATCGAAAACAACTTTGGTGCCATGAGCAAAGTGGGGGCGCACCTCCGTTTCACCCACATTGTGGTAACAGGCTGCCAGCAAGTGACGCTGTCCACTTTCTTTGTGTATGACCGGGACACTGACAGCCCCGGAGCAGGTGTCGGGGTCTGGGCAAGTATGTCCCGGGAGAACGATGCAGAGGGCATCAGACCCCATATTGCGGAGCAATGCAATATCCTGTGGGTTGGCCTGCTGGGGGTCCATCAGGATGGCACCATTGCATGCCGGTCGGATCTCAGTGAGGATCGGGACAGGATTATCATCAATGCCGTGCCAAGTGTCTGGGTCAAGCTGGAAGTCAGCGGCATTTACCGACGCAGCCTGAGCAAGCTTTTTCTTCCGGACAGCCTTTTGGAGCCGCTGCGCCGCTCGTTCGGCACGGCTGTCGCCCTCCGGAAGCGGGCGACCCACTGCTGCTGCACTCCGAGAAAGTTGGTGCCACTGCTTTGTGGGGTCCTGAGCAGCAAGAGCGTGGAGGCAGGTGGTAGCCCCGACGGCAGGCACAAGGGACTCAGTGGCCTGAGAGGCATCTGAAAGCGGCACACCCCGGTCCAGGAGCAATGCAGCAACCTTGGACTTAGCAAGCTGAACATTCTCATCCTTAACACCGCCTCCGCGTGTCTCGGTGGCAATGCACAACACCGCAAATCCAGAGGCCCTCTGCACATGGAGAGATGCTGCCGCGCGCAAGGTAGCAAGTGTGGCGTCATATTCAAGCGGCCGGGGACCGGAGAAGATTCGCGCACCTGGCCAACAACCCGCGGCATGGCTGGCAGAGGTCCACGCCCCCTCCAGGTCTCTCGGGCGGAGATGCTCTGGCAGAGCTAGCTGAGCAATGGTGCGTGTGCCAACCTGCAGTACGAAGGTGGCCTTGGCCTGCGCACTAGCATCGGCAGCCTTGGCATGGTAACGCAGCTGGGCCAAGAACAGCAACTCACGCAGGTACCCGGGTACCGCGGACGCTGGAAGGCAGGTCTGGCTATGGTCCAGACACAACTGGAAGCACAGGGGCGTGCTCTCATCCGCGACGGGGCCTTGGCACGCCAAACTCCACCCAAAGCTTTCAAACAGGTGGTACGGCGCCTGCAGGAACCACTCCTCTGCACTAGTGGGGGAGACGACCAGCTCGAAACCTTCCTCAGTCTGGACGAGGGAACAGTTTTCGACATCTTCCTGGGCAAAAGAAGGTGCCGGGAAGAACAGGTCTTGTGCAGCTGCTGCCACAATGACAAGCAAAGGGAAGTGGGACACATCATGGAGTCTGTCCCCATAACAAGTCAGGCAGGCAACGGCAGGAGAGTCAGGGTTTCGGCTCAGATCAAAAGCAAACTTGAGCTGGTGGTACAAGTCTGGCTGACCTGTCTGAACAAGGCAGGGGCCTGCAGGGGTGCAGAGGCACACCACAACACGGGGTTGGCAACTAACCACCGGTGCAGCACAGAGGGCAACAGCTGGGGCCGCCTCAACCTCAACCTGGTACATGCAAGCACGACTGGTTTCAGGGGGCAGGGGCTGCAGAGACGCCCGTGGCGTTGCGAAAACCGCGACCGCCTGTGGCACAGGAATGTGGCACGAGAATCTGACGGCAAGCTCGGCGGCTGCATCTGCATCTGCTGGGCCATGAAGGGCCAGTTTGTGGAAGATCATGCGGCGGCTCCGCAGCAAACCCTGGATTTCATTTCTAAGGCTCTCATCAGCCAGAACCGCACCCATCTCGTCCCGTCGAAGTAACAACCAGCCTGCGCGAACCTTCAAAAGAACACTGTTGACAGAGGTCATGCGGTGCGCAATGCAACAGTCGACAGCCGCAACGGGGCACACGGCTCTGGTAGGAAAGACCCCTTTGACCGCGTGCGCCAAAGTCAAGACGGCCTGCGGGACGGCCAGCGCATTACCCAATGTGAGCATGTTGCGCTCGTCATCTTTATCCATCAGCAGGCGCCGTTGCGCACCGTGACACGAGGCTATCTCCGGGCCAGCAAAGAATCGGAGCGTGGATGCCTCAGGGCCTGTCTTCAGGAGACTGCACAAGAGGCCTCGGCGCTCAAGCATACCTCGGGGCAGCAAGTGCTGGCGGTGATATGTGGCCATGAAGGTCTTGGCCTGCTGCACGGGGGAGCACAGCCGAAACTGTTGCACGGCCGCCTCGGTAGCTGGCAGGCCCGGTGGCAGGAACCATGGGTCCAAGTACACAGCAAGGGCCTCGGCACTAATCTCACAGGTCCGAAGTAAGCTTTCCGGGAGGACCGGGAAGTAAGCTCGCATGGCGTTTAGGGAAGGCCGGGGCAGCCGGTTCCAGTGCAGGGCTTGGAGAGGCCGCTTTGCCGCAGCACCGCAGTGATCATGAACCAGAACAAGCAGACAGCGTTTCCGCCAGGTTGGCGCCACTTCCGCAAGCTGCAAGGACTGATTATAAATGCAGTGGTATCCCGCTGACTCCCAAGCCCGCATGACCTGTGCATAGTCCTGATGCGAAAGGAAGCCAGCGACTTCCTCGAGGCAGACCACCGGGGTCTGGATAGCCGACATAATATCTGCAAGCAGTAGCAGCAACCTACCATCCGCAGTAGAAAGGCCTCCTTGTTGGCCAGCTGCACTCCAGGGCTGGCAAGGCGGGGACAGGGTGACAATGTCAGGTGGTCCGAGAGACCAAATGCCATGCCACCATGTGTGCTCCACATTTGCAGACAGGAAAATAGGAGTAGCAAAATCAGTCCCATCTGGCAACTCAGGGGCAGTTCTTACAGTCTCTAATTGAGGCATCAAAGTCTCCAGCGAAGCTTGCACTGCCTCTTCTATATCCAGAAGCCAGTCCGTACGGACTGGGCACCGTGCCTCCTGAAGAACCCATCCCGCCTGAGTCCAGCCTGCAAACCCTCCACTGAAGATCTCAGCCATGTGCAGGACCTCGTCCTGGCGATATTGCACATCTCCTGTCAAGAATGCCGGGCCTTGTGTTGCATCCAAGATGACTACCGCTTCTCGTACATGTACCTGAGTCCACATGGCCCTGATAGTGCGGCTGTGGCGCCCTACAGCAGCCCAGTGGCCGTGATTCATGCGTAACACTGCTTTACGGCATGGGTGGTCAATGGCAATGGTCTCAATACTGTCACCGGAAAGGCAGCCCTGCAGATGCTGAAGGATAGTGACCCGCACCAAAACACCATCATCAGTCTCAATAGGATCTCCCTGTACCGCAAGCTCAAAACACGATGTTTCACCATCCAGTTCAACTGGCGAGCTCTGTGCGAAATGAAAAAGCCTGCAGTAGCCCTCCCAAGGATTACTTGCCATGGCTGGAAAGTGGCACGACCCAATCCGCAAGGGAGGCCTGTGCCTCCCTCAACGACCTCGCCCCGTGTAGGCTTGGGCCCAGAGGCTCCCAAACCCTAAACCCTAAACCCCAAACCCTTTTGAAGGGACTTTGGTGGTAATTCGAATTTGGAACCCTTGGGCCGTAGGATCACGATTTGCTCGGGCTTCTACCTTCGTTGCTGAGTTCCTAAGCCCAAAAAAAAGGTGTAGACTTTAAGTTTCATAAGGGGTCATCTTCTCCCAAAAGGCTTAAAATTGTACTCTTTCAGCTACTAAGAATTTAAGGATTTGGGGTTGGGAACTCTGAACCTCCAGGCGAAGCAATTCCAAGTGGGTCAATTTGGGGAGCCACAAACCTACCCGTTTTCGGGTTTCTAGCCTCTAACTAAGGGGTCATAACCTGCTGTTTTGTAGGGTTTAGGGTCACAGGTACATATACTACTGCCATGATATGGTATTGAGTCCCCCAACCATGATTAGGATGGTCCGTTGGGCTAGACCCCAAACCTCAACCGAGAATACCCCCCCCCCCCCCACAACCAGCCCCCGAGAATCCACATCTTAGGGCTTAAGGGCTTAGAGCGAGCTTAAGGGTTCTTAGGGCTTAGGGCTTAGATCTTAAGGGGGCTCTAAGGGTTCAGGGCCTAGGGCTCAAGGGTTCTTCGGGTTGAGGGCTTGGAGCTTACGGGTTCCTCGGAATTCAGGGCTTAGAGCTTAAGGGTTCTTGGGGTTTAGGGCTCAGAGCTTAAGGGTTCCTAGGAATTTAGGGCTTAGAGCCTAAGGGTTCTTAGGGCTTAGGGCTCAGAGCTTAAGAGAGCCTACGGGTTCTTATTAGGGCTTAACGGTGTTTATTAATTACTCTACACCCTAAACCCTAAACCCCTAGACCCTAAACCTAACAGCTTTCTTTAATTGCAGTGCAAGGAGGCAGGCGTGTAGGTCCAAGGCCGTTTGAAAGGCGTAGACTTCGGTCGCTCCTGGCGAGGTCTTACCCTAAGGGTCCAGAAGGACCCAATACTAATGTACTTAGGGAGTATAGGGGTTTAGGGCTTAGGGGTTTAGGGGTTTAGGGTTTAGGGGTTTCGGGTATAGGGTTTCGGGTTCCAAAGGACCCAAGAAGAAAGGGGTTCTACTAGGGTTCCATAAGGGGTCTATAGGGATTTGTAGGGCTTCCAAAGAGGCCTTTAAGACTCAATAATCAGGTGCTTACGTTGCGGATAGTAGTCGTGCAGGTTACTATTTGGGAGAGTATATGATTATTATGTACTTGGACCCTTAGGGTTAGGGCTTGAGGGGCGGCTACGCTTTGCCTCGGGATACAACGAACCTACCAGTACCGTGTTGAGGGGTAACCCTAACCCCTAAATCCTGAACCCTAATTACTAAACCCTAAACCCTAAATCCTAAACCCTGAACCCTAATCCCTAAACCCTGATCCCTAAACCCTCAACCCTGAACCCTAAACCGTTTTGAGGGGTACAAGTTATACCCTAGAAATCCCTGGAGTTCAAGGGCCAAAACCTGCCATTTTTTAAAGTGTTCGGGGCTTAGGGTATATAGGGTTTANNTTAGGGTATGTAGGGCTTCTGTAAGGCTTCTATAAGGTGGTATAAGGTGGATAGACCTTCCATAAGGCTCCTACAACGGTAACTACCCACCTGAAACTGTCCTAGACTACAGGTATAAGGCTTCCCAGCCGCCTAGCCCTACCTAAACCCTTACCCCGAAACCCTGCCCCTTAACCCTCAAACGACTCACAATTTAAGGCTTTGAAGCCCAAAGGTCCTATTTTGTTTAAGGCTTCTTGCGCTATTTGGATGCTAGGGGTATATAACCTTCGCCGAATCCCTAACCTAACCCCTAAACCCTAAGGAAACCCTGCATAACCTTAGCCATCAACCACGTCTTGTGGGGATTTAATAAGACTTTACAGGCTTTGGGAGTCCGGGTTAAAGGTTCAGGGATTGATTTAGCCTTCGGGGCTCAGTTTGCGTTTAGGGGTCTATGCGGATTTAACGCTTAGGAAACCCTAAACCCTAAACCGTAGGGTTAAGGGTTGAGGGTTTAGGCTTCAGGGCTTAGGGCTTGAAGGGTTGATTCAGGCTTCAGGATTTAGGGCGTTAGGGGTTTGTAGCGGCTTCTGGGTTTATAGCTCTGGGGGTTTAGGGTTTAGGGGTAAGGGGGTTTAGGGGTTTAGGTCTTGCTTGCAGGTCCTGAGTTGACAAGTTTCACCCAGAGACTTCAATATCCCTTAATTAAGGAATATACTTTTAAAGGGTTCCTTAAAGGGATCTATAGGGTTCCTTAAAGGGGTTTAGGGGTTTAAGAAATATACCTTAAATCTTGTTAGGGTTCCTATTATAATTTAAGGTATATTCCATAATTAAGGAGTATATTGGAGTCTCTGGGCATACGCTGGTTTCATGGGACGTAGGTTTAGGGCTCATGTTCTGGCAGGAGGCTAGGGTTCTTTTAGGGGCTATGGAAAGAACGCCTACGTAGGCTGTACGGTCTAAGACTTAGAGGACAAGGTTTGGGGCTCAGGGAAAAACTTAAGTCGTAGGCAACAAGTATTATACAAAGTTTGGCACTGCGCAAACAAGGTTGAGAGCTTGGAGCATTGGAAGAACGGTTCCGGGGTACGGGACTGGGGTGTACTATTTCTAGATCCTGTATAACTACCGCTACTAGTCGTCACGGGTCCTCAAAACACGAATGCCATACCGACTATAATAGTGCATACAAAGCCCAGTGGGGTTTGGGGTTCAGGGGCTCAGCATGGTTTAGGGCTTGGGGTTTAGCAGTCAGGGTACCCTAAACCCTAAACCCTGAAACCCTAAAACCCTAAAACCCTAAAACCCTAAGCCCTAAACCCCTATAAACCCTAAACCCCTAAACCCCAAGACTCTAATCCTGCTGGCCTTCCATGCAGTTAGCATCGCTGTGAAGTTCATCGCCGGCTGCGGGGATGAGCTGCCGCCGCCGCCATGAGCGCGGACTCTTAGGGTTTCTTTTAAAGGGCTCCTTTAGGGGTTTAGGGCTTAGGGTTCCTTTTCAAGGGCTCCTTTTGGGATTCTGAGGGCTTATTCGGTTTAGGGTTTAGGGTTCAAGGTTCAGGGTTTAGGGTTTAGTGTTTAGGGTTGGCTTTAAGATGATGTAAGGTTTGTTGAGGAATTCGCGTTTGTTCGTGCCCTTCCAAACCCCTCAACCCTCTAAACCCCTAAACCCTAAACCCATAAACCTACCCTACACCCCAAACCCTGACCACTCCCTTAACCCCTAGAGCTCTCAACCCTAAAACAACTTTCAGATTCCTTGCAGTACCCTTACCGTAACTTAGGGTTTAGGGTTTAGGGTTTTGGGTTTAGGGACCCCCTTCTAGCTGCCCCCGTTATATAAAGGAACCCCTTATGAGAGGAAGCCTTGAACCCTAAATCTCGGAGGTTTCTTTGAACCGCAAGTCAAGGCCGGGAGGTGGTTTTTCGTCTAACCTACGGGACGAAAAGACGCCTAAACGGGTTTAAGTTTCTTGTACCTTACCCTAAGGGTCCAAAGGACCCAATAATAATGTACTGAGGTTGCAGATAGTAGTTATGTAGGTTACTATTTGGGAGAGTATTAAATCGTTGGGTACTTGGACCCTTAGGGTTAATTATAGGGGTTCATAGTATAAGGGTATAGGGCCCCTATTTTTAAGGGTCATTTGGTCTCTAAGGAAAGTGTGACGACCCCTTTCTCCCCGCAGACCAGAGAGGCAGGTTCGGCCCAAAACAGGCGGACACTACTCAGAACTTTGGGTCGTTTGGGGATTTAGGGTTGAGTTGCTCTCCATACCCTACTTGGGCTAGGGTTTGGGGGTTTACGCAGGGGTTGAGGGCTTTCGTAGATTAGGGTTCTGATTTTCGCTGTTTAGGGTTTTAGGGTGTTGCTTGGAGGGTCGGGGGACTCAGCTTTGATAGTCATACGCATAACGGCAATTAGGATCCCACTTAGGTGACTCTACCTCGTACCTACTTACTTACTGGGTCCTCCGACTCCAAGCACGGGTTCCTGTAAGGGTTCCTTTTAGGGCTTTGGGTGTTGGAATTTAGGGCCTAGTGGTTTTAGTCTTTGGGATTTCCTTTTAAGGGTTGCTATGAGGGGTTGAGTGAGGTTTGAACCCTCCGGCATATGTTCGCTTGGGCTTCAGGGCTGGGTAGAGTATCGTAGAGGCTTTCAAAATATCCAATACTGGGCTTTGCAGTGCTATTTATGAACTATCTTCATACGGCTTTGTATAGCCCTAAGACTCCAAGTACACAAATAGTACCTCCTTGGGGGCCTAAAAAGTCTCTACATGGTACTTACTTTGGGCCATCTGGAGTCTTAGGGTAGGGTTTAGTTTAAGTGCGGCGTTGACCCTAGAACACGGGTCCGGGATGAATGGTGGTATAGGTCGTATAGGAACTTATAAAGGGGTAGTATTGGATGAGACCTTCCCTAAACCCTAAACCCGAAACCCTAAACCGCGGCTATTTGTTGCTGTTGAGGACCACTCTACGGCTCTTGAGCCCTCACATTGAGATCTAAAACCTGAGCCCGCGAAGCCGAAAACCTTCCCCCCCAAAAAAAGATTCGTTCAGGGTTTAGGGTGTAGGAACAACTGCTCACATGGGTAATTCTCTAAATTACGTTCCCTTTTAGGGTCC